GGCCTGAGAGACGGGTGTTCCTGAGCAATCTTCTGTCTTCCCCACGACGTAGCTTCCATGAGAGTAAAGACCTTATCTGCGTAGCATCTCTCTTATCTAGCATTTAGGAGAATGCCCGGCACATAGTAAGTCCTTTGTTGGGTGGGTGGGTGGGTGGGTGGATGGATGGATGGATGAATGAATGAAGTTGCACTTCAGATTCCAACTGGGAAGCGGAAGAGACAGATTTCTGAAAATTGGAAGAACACAAATAGTGGGATCCTGGTGAGTGGGAGTTCGGTGAGCTCTGCTGTTGGGCCACCTGCCCAGCAGGCAGAACAGGCCCCAACTGCTGGAGGAATCCAGGGAGGGGCCCAGAGCCCAGAATGTGCAAATACCAAAACAAGTAGCAATTCTAGGTTTTGGTCTCACCAACCGAAATGTCAACTTCCCACATGACTCAATTTGAGAAGCACATACCTGTTTTGTTTTGTTTAGAATCTTCCCACCTAACTGTATGGAGTCCGTATGACTGGGATGCTGCACATTTTCCATTATATTGATGATCGTTTAATAAAATCATTCCCTGGCATCTTTATTGTTTGTTTACCCTTTCAGAGATTGAAGGAATCATCATCTTCATGTCTTCCTTTTCCTCTTTTTTTCCCACTGATTATTTTCAGAAAGAAATAGATGGTTTAGCCAAATATTACGTCTTACTTATAGCTCTTACTGTGTACCTCATTGCTTTCTAAAGCGTTAATAATGGCAGCAGCAATGTCTGTATACCCAACAATTACGAGTTGAGTATTTCCTGGTTCTAGGTAGGAACTGAGCTGGGCTGTGGACATGGAGCTGCCCTCAGGTGGCTTCCGTTCTGGGGCAGGAGACCAGCTTTACTCTCCTTCTCACACTAGTACATAGTTACACACTGAGAAAGAGTGGGAAGGAAAAATACAGGCCTTCTTCCAAGAGGCTGAAATCTGTCTTGTAACAATTTCAGCAGAACTAGTGGTAGTAGGGGTTTGGGGTGATAGCCCTAGTGTAAGTCTGCAGAAATTGCAAATGTAGACCTAAATTTTTTACAGATGAATAACTAGAATATACTCAAGAACTTGTCCTGACCTTTCCTCCTACTTTTTCTTTTCTTTCTTTCTTCACTTTATTTTATTTTAGGTACCAGGGATTGAATCAGGGGCGCTTTAACCACTGAGCCACATCCTCAGCCCTTTTTTGTATTTTATTTAGAGACAGGCTCTCACTGAGTTGCTTAGGGCCTCAGCCTCCTGAGCCACTGGGAATATAGGCATACACCATTGCACCCAAATACTTTTTCTTTAACTGATCTTTCTCTCTGAGTACACAGCCCCATCTCTTTCTCTTACCTGAAAAGGCAGCAGGAGTCTAATACACAAAGGGACTGAGGGTCAAATCCCAGTCCCTGCACTTCTGGCTCAGTGACAGCAGATGACAGAGCTTAGCCTTAGTTTCCTAATGTGTCAAGAATAGTGCCTTCCTGGGTGTGGATTTTGGTCACAAGTCATGTGTGGGCATTCCATTATGTGGGAAAAAATACACAGCAAAATAGGGTCTCTGGCACCCACACCCTAGCCAGTACCAGACGGCTCACAGACACATAGTGCTGGCCAAGCAAGGACTGTGCCCACTACAGTGAGTGAAAAGGTAGGCCTGGCCACACTGTGGTCTCACAGGAGACCTCTCCTGTCAGCGATGCCAGTGCAGGCCTCCCCCAGGAGGGGCCACTGAGCTGAGAACGTGGGATAGAGCGGAAGTTCACCAAGTCACCCACTTGGGGCACCACCTCTTTGTGAGCCCCCTGCATCAATTCATAAGCAGATCCTTCTCTCCCTCCTGAATAGACTTCCTTACCCCTGTGACTTTTGCTGTGACCAAGTTCTTGCCTGGGCCACTCAGGGAGGGTCCTGTTCATTGCCTGCTCTCATTCTGGCCCCTGCAGCCTTTTTGCCACGCCTACCAGCAGGAGCCTTTCTTTTATGGTGGATCATTGGACTCCCTCCCTTCAAACGCTCTGTGCTTTCCTATCGGATGGAAAATTTCATGCCAGTTCCTAAGCAGGGCCCACAGGCCTCCCGCCATCCCCCATGCTGCTTCTCTGCCACCCTTTCCTCTGCTCACCCCTCCCCGTCAAGCTGGCTCCCTGGTTGGCCTCAAACAACTCTTGGGTGCTTCTACCTCACGGCTCTTGCCCTTGCTGTCGGCTGCGTGGAATGTTCTTCCATTTACCTGCATGGCTCACTCATTCATGTCAGAACTCTGCTCCCACAGCAGGCTCCACTGGGCTCTCCTGACGCTCCTTACCTGGCGCTCCTCCCCCACCTTGTTCTTGTAGCACATTCAGCTCCCGCCATCGCTAGGTTTAAATGAAAAAAAGTGTCTCTGCTCTCAAAACATTTCTGAGCCCCAGCAGTTCTCCAGTTTGCCGAAGACACCATCTGGGTACCCTACAATTCAGTCCCCACACTGTCTACCTGGCGTTAGCCTCCCATTCACAAAGAGTTCAGTCCCAGAAAACTGTCACCCCTTCACATGCCAGTGGCGAGTCCCAGGTTTGCTACCTGTGAGTTCTGACTGTAGCTATTAGTGGGAGTTCCCGTAACCTACTCCACAGGGTTGATAATTTGCTATAATGGCTCACAAAACTCAGGGACACGCTTTACTTACTATTTCCAGATTATTATAAAAGATATAGTTTAGTTAGCTAAATGGGAGAGACGCATAGGGTCAGAGGTTGGGGTACAGTGTGGTGTGCGAGGCCACCGTGCCTCTAGCATGTCCATGTCATCCCCAGCTCAGAGACTCTCTGAACCCTGGAGTGGAGGGATTTTTGTGGAGGCGTCATCTTGTAGGTGTGATGAATTATTAACTCAGTCTCCAGGCGCCCTCCTCCCCTAGAGGTTTGTGGGACGGATCGTTCCAAGCTTTTAATCGTGCCTTGCTCTTTCAGTGACCAGCCCCCTCACTAGAGCTACCCAGGACCCATCCAGGAATCATCTCCTTAGAACAAAAGATGTTCCAGTTACTCAGGAAGCTCCATGGCACTTAAGAGCTCTGTGTGAGATGCTCTTATTACCTCAGGAGAACACAGGAAATCACAGGGACTTGGAGCTGCCTCAAGAATTGGGGCAGAGACCAAGTGTGTGTGTGTGTGTGTGCGTGTGTGTGTATATTTCTCATTTTGTCACAGTGTTCTATTTATTTACTCTTTAACTTTTCTGTTTTCCCCACAAAAATGTTAGCTATATGAGATCAAACAGGAATTTTATCGGTACTGCTCTATATAATTAAACCCTGCGTGGCACATAGGAGGGGCTCAGTGTTGATTAATAAGTGAGCCATATAAGGAAGGAAGGGGACAGACGTTTTTGATAGCAGGCTCTTCATGTGCAGGGCCTGCAGCCACTTGGAGTTTCAGAACTGAAAGAAGGCCTGTGGGGCAGAGTACAGCCAGGGAGTGGTCATGATGGATGAGGCAGAAGATGGTGACCAGCCAAAAGGGTCTTGTAGGCTGTTACAAAATTTTGGCCTTTCTTCTAAGGGCAAAGAGAAGCCATTAAAAGGTTTCATATAGATTGATTAGTGGGTGGTGAATTGATGGCAATGGGCAGGTGACAGGAGGGGACCAGTGAGGTAGTTGTTGGAGTGATCCAGGCAGAGGTGGTGATGGGAGCTGGTTGAAGAAGATGAAGAGACATAATTGGATGTAAAACAAACTGGGACTGCTTCCTCTCCCCATGATCAAAAGTAGCCAGCTCCGCTAACTACACTGAAAAGCCGCAAACTCACTTCAGATCTCTTCAGGGGCACAAATTGAACCAACCATCTAAGGCATTCTTTTTCCCCCTGTGCCAAGGGTGCAGCAAATACAGAGATGAGTAAAGGAAACAGCTCCCGGGCCTTTCCAGCCCTGCCTTGTCAGTGGTGGCCTCCTGTCTTCAGTCCTGTTTTGGCTCTTCTGCTCCATCTTGAGTGTATCTTGGTGTCCTCTCCACTTGCCCCAACGCCCAGCCAAGGTCAGGTGCTGAATTTTCTCAAGTATTATGCTAGTGGTCCTCAGGGATCCAATTTCCAAACCTGAGGTTTTCCTCATGATGTCAAAATCGTGGACATCTCTGTGGCATCCTAGCCAAGTAGGAAAGAAGAGAAGAACATCTCTTGCCTACTTGACTCAAAAGACTACCATAAGAATTAAAAGAAAAAATAGTAAAGGGACTTTGCAAACATGCAAGGTGTGCGGACAGTACCCCACTGTGCTTGCACTGCCTCTTCACTGTTGTTTGCTTTATTTTGTAGTTATCCAGCACATATTTATTGCACGTTCCCTGTGGGCCTGTGCTAGTTCCTGGAAAGAAGATAGAGTCTCTGCCCTCATGGAATTATTCCACCGTGTTCTAGAGCCCTGTGGGTCAGATGAGAAGAATGGGAAGTCTCTAACTACCCATCAGTGCACAGAACACGACAGCCTGAGGACTTAGCAGCATTTGGTCTTGCTCCTCTGCTAAACTTCTTACTGCCTGTGACCCCATGTGGCAGGCTTTCCACCTCAGGCACACCCAGAGGATGGTTTACCCAAATAATATTTGAAAGTTGGACCCTGCAAGGAATGGGACAATAGCTTTTCTTTAAGTTCCCATTGGTAGTGTTTGCTGTAAATATGGACCCAGCCGCTGGGCATAGATTGACAGATTCAGGTCTCCGTCCTCTTGCGTTATAAGAACCAGCAGCGGCCCTAGGACCCTAGTCCTAGTTGTGACTCTGTTGCTGGCGGTGAAGTCACCTACCTCCAGAGTCCTAGATTTAGTTATACATACATGTATACATGTATGTGCATGTGTACATATAACCCGGGCGCCCTACCACTGAGTTCCAGCCCCAGTCCTTTTTATTTTTTAATTTGAGACGGTCTCGCTCTTAGGTACTCGCTGATTTGCCGAGGCTGGCCTCGTACTTGCAATCCTGCCTCCGGCCGCCCGCCTCGCCGACTGCGCGAGGTGGGGCCGAATGGGCGGGGCCTCCCCCTGTCGGGGGCCGCATCCGCCGGACGCCGGAAGTGCCTCTCCGCCCCTGCCACTAGACCATGGAGACTGTGGCACAGTAGAGTCCGGTGTGAGGATTGTGGGGGCAGTGGCCATGGAGGCCGTGCTGAACGAGCTGGTGTCTGTGGATGATCTAATGGTGAGGCCTGGACCCCAGGAAGGCAAAGGGGAAAGTCGGAGGGCGGGTCCTGAGGAGAATAGGGCAGGGGATAAACCCTCTCCCCAGCCTCCGCGTCGCCGAAGGAAACGAACTACGGCTCCCGGCAGCCTCTGCGGCGCCCGGCTCCTACCCCAAAGCGCTCTTTGTCCCGGAGGCTGATGGGAGTGGTAGTTCTTGGGTCTCCTCACTTCAGGACGTAGGGCCTGGAGTCTTGACGATGGAAAGGGTGACGGGTTCTGGGTTCGTGCGGAGTTGTAGCTCAGGATGCTCCTTCCCTTGCCAGGGAATACAACTTTTAACCTTGAATCCCGCATGGTGCTAAGTTCACAGCGTGCCAGGTCTCACTCTTCGTAGCTCTAGGAGATAAGCGCTGGTTTTAACCGTGTCTTGCTAATAGGATAAGGTCCAGACCCGGCAGGGTGGGGCAGTGAGGCCAGCAGCCTCGGGCTAAGACCGCGTAGGCTGTTGTTGAGCAGTTGGGACAGTGTGTTTACTGTTCAGCCACTTGGGGTCAGCTGCTCCTGGAGCGGTGCCTGGATCTGCCACCAGGTGGCATCTCCACTAGATACCAGTAGGGGGAGGGCGGAGGAAGGGGCCCCTCGTCCAAGGAGGTCGTCCACCAACCCAGAGAGCACAGTACTTGGATCATGGGTTGGGGGTGGCAGAAGCTGGGGTGCTGGGTACCAAGACCTGCGAGGGCAAAGACAGGAATGGAGTGTGACTGGGACATGGACAACAGGTCCAGATAGAGTGTGCTTGCACCCTTGGTTTTTAAACGATTCCTCTCCTCTCCTACGGCAGAAGTTTGAAAAGAAATTTCAGTCTGAGAAGGCGGCAGGCTCAGTGTCCAAAAGCACGCAGTTTGAGTATGCCTGGTGCCTGGTGCGGAGCAAGTACAATGAGGACATCCGGAAAGGCATTGCACTACTTGAGGGTGAGGCTCTGGGCGGCCGTCGCTGTTCTCTGCTGCATCGGGGCCAGCCTTGTCTGCTGCCATCGGCCTCATTCGCCTCCTTTGTCCAAGCACTGGGATCCTTTCTATCAGGGGACCCTTACCTCACAATACAGTCACTTCATAGTAATTCCCAGCAGACTCGCTGTAGCAAAGGGCTGCACAGTTGGCCCTCCATATCTGCAGGTTCCACATCATGGATTCATTCAGATCAAACATTTGATATAAAACAAAACAACAACAAAAATATTTACTAAAGTGTACAGACTTTTTTTACTTGCTGTTATTCCCAAAACAAAACAGTATACCAATTGCTAATGTAGCATTTGTATTGTATTAAATATCATAAGTAACCTAGAGAGAATTTAAAGCACGCAGGAGGATGTGTAGGTTTTATGCAAATATTACAATTAAGAAACTTTAGCATCTGTGGGTTTGGGAATCTGATGGGGCTCCTGGAACCAATCTGCCAAGAATAACAAGGGACAGCTCTACCAGTAAAGGATGCTTGTTGTAGATCTGTAAAACTAAGAGTTTTAATGCAAATACCATCATTCTACATTGTCTGTTTTGCAATTCAGATTTTTCAGGTTCACCCCACACTAGGGCACAAAGGTAGAAGTGGTCTCTGGCCATTGCTCCTGTAGTTGAGGAGACATTAGGCTCTTGAAATTTTAAGCATCTGCAGAACTACTTAGTGAGATCCTGATGCTTGAGAACAGCCACACTCGGTCCTCTGGGAAGTCACTGAATTGGGAAGTAATCAGGTGGGTTTTTCCAGGGAAGTGAGTTAAGGAGGAGGGAATACAGACTCCACACACACACACACACGGGAATTGAATCCAGGAGCACTTTACCACTGAGCTGCATCCCTAGCCCTTTTTATTTTTCATTTTAAGACGGGATCTGGCTAAGTTGCTGAAGCTGACTTTGCCTCCTAAATTGCTGGGATTACAGGCGTGTGTCACCACACCCAGCTTTATTTTACTTTTATTTTTATTTTGAGGCAGGGTCTCACTAAATTGCTTAGGGCCTTGCTAAGTTGCTGAGGCTGGCCTTGAATTTGTGATCCTCACACCTCAGCCTCGGAGTCGTTGAGATCACAGGTGTGTGCCTCCACACCCATCTGTGCAAACATTTGTTTTTAACAATAATTGGGCAGCAGGTAATGGCATTGAAAACAATGGGTGCCTGAGTTAAGTAGAGTTTCCTTTTGACTTCCTGTCCTTAGGTTCCTGTGGTTCACTCCAGTGGACCATAGTGACTGTAATATTGATTCCAGGATGTCCGTATTGGGGTGTTGTGGCAGCCTCTGCTCATGGTGCCCCAGAGCTCTGACTGGGAAGCTGAGAGTGACAGCAGCTGACATGGAGGCCCAGGACTGGGACCTTAGAGGGATCTGGAGTGTGGCAGGGTCTGTGGGATGCGGTATTAGGAAAAGAAAGAAGCCGTTTTTTCACCCTCTTTTTTCTCCCTTTCCCAGAACTACTGCCCAAAGGGAGCAAAGAGGAGCAGCGGGATTATGTCTTCTACTTGGCTGTGGGGAACTACCGGCTCAAGGTGAGCTGCCTTTCTGCCCCAGGGTAGAGCCCTGGGCCTCAGAGAGGCTGAAAAAGGCAGTAGGCAGGGGGTGGTGTGAGGTCACTGGTGCAAGTTGATACCAGGACTGTTTCAGAGGGAAGGTGAGAGAGGATCAGGGTGCCAAGGGTGTGGGGACAAGGTGACGTCATGATTGGGGTGTAGCCTCAGGCTTGGGCTGTTATCTCCCCTGGCTTATCACCCCAACACAGTTGGGGTTGTTTGTGGACTCTACTCCATCAGGTGGGGCTGGAGGGAGGATGGGGGAGGTTTAGGCAGGGCTGGGGGCGAGAGAAAGGAAGACCCTTCCTGGCAGGAGGGGTCCCGGAGCCCCAGGGTGCAGGTGACTTGCGGTGCATTTCCCCTGAGTGCAGGAGTATGAGAAGGCCCTGAGGTACGTGCGTGGGCTGCTGCAGACAGAGCCCCAGAACAGCCAGGCCAGGGAGCTGGAGCGGCTCATCGACAAGGCCATGAAGAAAGGTGAACGCCTCGCCCTGGGTTAAGTCCTCATCCTTCCCAGGGCCCCATGGAGTGTCCATAAAGGAGCCCCTCCAAGCAGTCACTCCCGAGAAGGCCCCTGTCTCCTGCCCTGGAGCTCGTAGCCTTTGACTCTGTCGGGAGGCACGCGTCTTCTGTGGAGCAGCGGGGCCAGGGCGGTCCTGGCCAGGGTCCCTGTGGGCTGCCAAGCTCTGACGGCCTCCCTTCTCCTTCTCCGTTCCCTAGATGGACTAGTGGGCATGGCCATCGTTGGAGGCATGGCCCTGGGCGTGGCAGGACTGGCTGGACTCATCGGGCTGGCCGTGTCCAAGTCCAAATCCTGAAGGAGAGCACGCCTGCTCCTCTGCCCAGGGCACTCGGGAGCTGTGGTGGACACTCAGAGCAGGGCCCCGCCATCCTCACGGGCCTTCCCTGTTCTTCCCTCGCATCCTCATCATTGTCCTTTGCGGCCTTCAACCTCTGTCTCCCCAGACCTGTTGTGTAGCCCCAAGTCATGTGCCATGTGTGAGTGTAAATAAAGCTGGGCTGTGGCTTGGGAACCTCCTTGCCTGTGTCGGGGGGGTGGCACTGTGCATAGGTGGGCTCACCCCTGGCCCTTTCCTGCCCTGTGCCCTCTTGTTCCTGCCCTCCAGGCCAATGTGGGGGTCTCCTTTGTCCACGGAGCAGCTCAGTCCACACCCTTCCTTCCTCCCCTTCCCCAAAGCCATGTCCTTGAGCAGCAGCAGACAGAACAGGACATGGCCCAGAATCCTGGGAGAAAGCAGCCACCAGCGGGAAGGGCATCCAAGGCGAGGCTGGGATTTACGGCTCAGTCTCCTCTGACCCACTCAGCTGCCTCGCAGCACGTGGACTTTTCCACTGCGGCCCTTGGGCTTCCTCCACAACCTCCGCCCTTCCCTCCCTTTGTCTTCCTGCGCCTCCCCTTCCTCCTGCCCCATCCTCCTTAGGGAAAGGGGGGCCCCAGTGGAGAAGGAAGTTCTTTTGGTATGGGGGAGGCAGGGGTTTGAGGGGAGGCTAGGGGTAGAGAGTATCTGGGTTCCAGCTTATGGAAGAGGAGACAAGCTCCGCCCCACTGGGTCTGCCCCACGCCCCCTCGTGCCAGGCTCTGCGTGGGCCTGCGCTGCTTGCCGCATACCTCTCGTTCCTCAGCCCCCGCTAGGCCAGCAGGGTGGGAGGAGGCACCTGAGGGAGCATGAGGACCTGGCGCATTGGTGGGGAACAGGGCGGACACCCCCAGGAGTGAACTAGAGCTGTCCCAACCTTGGCCTTGACTCGGGGGTTTTGATCCATCATGATTAATTGAGTTGGTAACAGCTTCTGGTAACTCTGGAGTGCTAGGAGAGATTAGCCACAGGCTCATGTCCCAGACCTGTGATCTGCTCCTGGGGCCCCTTGGCAGCAGGATCAAACTTGATGCCGAGAGTCAAAGGTCAGCTCAAAGGGGGAAATTCAAGTTCAGGAAGTTTGGAGGAAAGTTACTGCTGGCCTCACCTCAGTCCTGCGGCCCTCAGATCTGAGACGGTCCCCAAGCATGGAGCAGTTGGAGTGTGTGGGGAGCTGTGATCTCTGGTCCCCGTTCTTATTGTGACCTGCAAAGCCAGTACCGGGGCTCCAGATGGCTAGCAGAAAAAAAGTGGAGCTAAATAAACGAGCCTGGCCACTTTGGTAACCTATGGAGTCTAATTTGAATCCAGGTTGCCGGACCCCAGAGCGCTGGTCTCTCCCACTGCCTTCACGTCATCTTGGAGACCCGGGGGTCCTAGAGGTGTGGTTCTTCCCATGCAGAGGGAGTGGCCCTGCCCCCAGTCCTCCATGGAAGGCATGTCTGTCTGGGTTCACTCCACCTCTTGTCACGCTCCTGTCTCTCAGTCCCCTTTTCTCTTCTTGCCCCTCTATTCCATTCTCTGGCCCCAGATGAAAGCTGAGTCAGAGACAGCCGCTTCCCCCTTGGCTCCTGAGTCCTCCCAGGCCCCTCCTTGGCCGGATCCGTTAGTCTTCTAAGTCCTCTCCCCCCCACCCTCGAGGGGCGGGGAGTCCAGGCCAGCCTAGAGGCTGGGGGAGGGGGTGGACTTTTGGCCTGTTTATTCCCTCCATCGTCAACAGCTGCTGCCACACAGGCTTGGCTCATTCCTCTGACCTGTCAGGAAGCAGAGAGACCCAGAAAGGAGGGAGTCAGAAACCTGGAGACGGAAGGACCTGAGCCCGAGAAGAAGCGGGCAGAGGCCACGGCTGGATTCCCCTCCTTCCCCTCTGCCTGCCTTAACGCTCCTCCTTAGCCAAGCCCCTTCCACTTCCCGGGGGGCTCCACCCCTGCCCCTCTCTGGGGCCCAAGCCCCTCAGGGGCCTGCGTCCCAGGATGTCGATAGCTGTGGAGAGCCTTGGCTTCTTCATGGCAGCCCTGGGGCTGCTGATGCTGGGGGTGACCCTGCCAAACAGCTACTGGCGAGTGTCCACCGTGCACGGGAACGTTATCACCACCAACACCATCTTCGAGAACCTCTGGTACAGCTGTGCCACTGATTCCCTGGGAGTCTCCAACTGCTGGGAGTTCCCGTCCATGCTGGCCCTCTCTGGTACGGGGTGAGGAGAGCTTCAGGGAGCAGAGGGAGGTGGGCAGGCTTGGAGAGACCCCAAGGGAAGGGGTGGCTGTCTTTGGTCTGATCTTGGGTGCCATAAGGATGCAGGAAGACGGGTCAAGCTCTGGGTCCTGGGCTGCTGTAGCCAAGAACGCTGGGCACTCCAGCCTGGCTCTGCAGTGAGACCTTGTTATATTTGGCCCCTGGTCTAGTGGAATCCTCCACCAGTGGTTGTAAGAGCAGGCAGCAGAGTCATCAAGCTGCCATGTGCAACTCCTGCCCTGGCTAGCTCTGTGCCTCTGGTGAGGAGACAATGGGCTTGGTATCGGCCACCTGCAGGCTGGGACCATAACAGCACCAGCCCTCAGGTGCTGGTGAAGATCACATGCAGCAAAACCTGTAGACCCTGGCTCCCTGTTGTCACATGTGCACTCTGTACATTTTATTCTGGGTGGGATCGCTGGGTTGGCAGGGTGAGGAGGCCCCATCTTGGCCTCTGGGCAGTTGATAGGCAGCAGGTCTCAGTGACCAACCAAGCATCCACACTGGGCCGCTGGTCTCCCTGCTGTGCTGAACTGTACAGAGCCCCCAGCAAGGCCAGGTTGCAGTGGACGAGCGGCCGGGCAGTCTGAATGGAGGTGGTGGGCACACCCGGGCACGTGTCTGGGGTTCTCCACGCCATGTGTTCTGAGGTTCTTAGAAGGCTAAGCCTGCAGCTCCAAGGTAGGCCCAACCAGTTCTTTCCGATGAGTGCTCCTCCTGCTGCCTGCTCACCCTTGACTGGCCATCTTCCCACAGAGCCTCCTCTCAGTCTGCCCCCGTGCTAGAGACCAAGAGTGAACCCTCTGTGGGCACCCCCACACACACTGGGTCCTTGGGAGTCTTCTTGACCTTCCTGGCTCTGCATGGCAGGTGATGGGTGGGCAGAGAGGAACTAAGGCCAGCACTGGGCAGGAAACAGGCAGTGAGACTGCCCCAGGAATGCTGGAGAGCCTCAGCTGGGCCTGGCTGGGTCTCTTGTGCCCCTCTCTTCCCAGATTCTTGAGGCAGCTGTAGGGGCTTCATGCTTTTCAGCCATCTCCCCAGGACCTGTGTGCAGGACAGGTGTCCCCCAAAGATTCCTAAAAGCTGAGTGCAGTCTGGACCAAAAGCCCAGGGTGCTGAGTGGCCAGAAGAGACAGTGGGGGCAACTGGCCCGGAAACCCAGCCAGCCCACTGCATCCATGCCTGGCGCACTGAGCCCCGGGAGGGACCCATGGGGCACTGCTGCTCTTGGCCTGCAAGAGATCCCAGTGCAACAATGTGCAGGAGCGTCTGGAGGGGAGAGCAGAGGGCTGCGGAGCTCCGGCCTGTGCTTCCCCGTCCAGCTGTGCTGTTGCAGTGGTCTGTAGTCACCTGCTGCTGGGTGGGGCATTGACCTCATTTCACAAAGCTGAAGAAATTCTGTAGGGTATAACAGCCTAGAGCCACAGGAGGTGAGGGCAGCTGAGACTCCAACTTATGGCGCCCGAGCCAGGGCCCAGTTGATTCCTCCATGGCCCATTGTGGTCCAGAGAGGGATCCTGGCCCTCATTCAGCCACCCACCAGCTGTGCACCCCAACTTCCACTTGGCCACCAGAGCTCCCTGAGGATTGAGAGTTGGGGTGGGGAGGGAGTGGCTGGGAGTCAGAATGTCCTCTCAGAGAACTTTGTCCCTCCTCCCTGCTCCCCAACTTCAGGCCACTTACCTCTTCCTGGCAGGGACCCAGCCTTTCTCCTTCAGTACCCATGCTGCTGCCCCACCCAGGAAAGGGGAGCAAGGTCCTCAGGAGCACTTAGCAATTATGGAAGACAGAGAGGGGAGGAGGGGCTGGCAGTTTCCCTCATTTTTGCAAAAAGGGAAACTGAGGCATCAATATGAGCTAGACAAACTCGGATGATCCTGGGCCCAGGTGTCCCACCTTCCAGGTCAGAAACTGCCCTTGACCCTCTGCCATAGGCCGCTGCTGCCCCCTTCAGGTTACTCTGGGAAGAAACTCTGTTGGAGGTGTCAGGCATTGTGCTTGAGCTCTGGGTGGGACTTGGAGAGCCCTTGGATGCGGGGTGGGGATGGGGAAGGTGAATTTTCTATAATGCACAGTAGAACATGGGCCTGATCTCATAGAGTGGCAAGTCTCAGCCAGCCTGGGTCTGCACTTTGCCTCAGGTTGGGAGGAGCGGGAGTTGCTACAGCATCCTGTAGGCAGAGGTCCAGGGTGCTGCAAAATGCTCCATGATGCATAGGACATTCCCTGGGAACTAGGTCCCCAGCCCAGAGTCAGTAGTGAAACCCATGGAAAAGGTACCAACAAAGTGCACCTGGCTGGGAGGAGGAGGGCATGGGTGGGAGGGGCGTGGATGCACAGGGAATGAGGCTGGAGGACTTCGAGGGACAGCAAGGCCTGTGTCTGAGCAAAGGCCACAGGGGCTGCTGTGGGCCATGGAGGTGGGAGAGATGGGGGAAAGACTGATGCCTGTGTCCCTCCCCAGGGTATGTCCAGGGCTGCCGTGCGCTCATGATCACCGCCATCCTCCTGGGCTTCCTTGGCCTCTTTCTAGGCATCCTGGGGCTGCGCTGCACCAAAATCGGGAGCATGGAGCTCTCCAGGAAAGCCAAGGTGGCAGCCATCGCGGGAGCCCTTGACATGCTGGCTGGTAATTGGGGGAAGGTGTTGGGTGAGCTTGGGGTAGCCCTTGGCCACAGACTACAGGCTTCCTGCCCCATGTCCAGCTCCCTACTCCTGGCACATGCAGCTCCTTCCACTTTGCCTTGACACCTGCTGGGCTCTTCCCTGGCTCCCTGCCATCCCACCCTCATCTGAACCTCCAATCCCATCTACAGTTCAGTCCTTCACCAACACACACACCCATACAGTGTAGAGTAACAATGCCGAGACTCGCCACTAGTGTTCCATTTGTACATTTTCACACCTCTCATCTCATGATAAGTCTGCAAGGTAGGGTGGGCATTGTCCTGTTCCAGATGTGAAAAGCTTTGAAAGGTCAGGTGGTTTCCTGGAAGACAGGCCCCCAGCAAGTGGAGTGGTGACAGCCCAGGGCTTGGTGGGATTTGGGATTCCAAAGGAAAGGGCCATCAGGGCAGTGGGTGGGGAGACTTGGACAACTGGGCTTTGCAGGCTGGGTAGGACAGATTCCAGGTGAGGCCAGGAGTGCTGGGGCCCTCAGGTTGGGATGAACAAGGCAGCTCTGAGGCCAAGGGGGGCCGGGATTGGATGGAGAGTGCCAGGAAGGGAGGTCAGAAGTGCTGGATTGAGACCTTTACAGTTGACTGCCAGGATGGGAAAGTTTATAGGCTGGGGCGGGAGAAAGGAATTGAAGTGAAATGGTTACCCTTGGACTTGATGCCCTCCATCCTACTCAGGAAGACCCCTGCCTGACCCTTCTTAAGCCCCCACACCAACCTCCTGCCTGGGCCATGCTGACCCAGGGCACTAGTGCGGTTCTCCCGCCTCCCCAGGGGCCTGCGGGATGGTGGCCATCTCCTGGTATGCCGTCAACATCACCCAGGACTTCTTCAACCCCCTCTACGTTGGAACCAAGTGAGTGAGGAGCTCCGCCCTCTGGGACAGCTCGGGTGGAACTTGGCCCTGTCCCTCTGGCCCGCGCTCACCTCCTGGCCCCCACCCCTGCGTCGCCCTTGCGTCCAGGTATGAGCTGGGCCCCGCCCTCTACCTGGGCTGGAGCGCCTCCCTGCTCTGCATCCTTGGTGGCATCTGCCTCTGTTCCAGCTGCTGCTGTGCCTCCCAGGAGGACCCCACCGCAAGGTGAGAGAGGGGAAGGACAGGGTGGAGGGCAGGGAGCAAGGGTCGTACCTCCCTGTGACGGCCCCCTTCTCCCCACAGGGCCCAGCTTCCCTACAAGACTTCCACAGTTGTGATGCCCACCGCCACCTCAGATGAAGGTGACAGCAGCTTTGGCAAATACGGCAAAAATGCTTATGTGTAGATGAGTTTGGGCCAGCGGAACCCATCTCCCTTCCCACTGCCCCTTAAGGACCCTGGGGCCCATCTTCCCTTTAAAAACCTGCAGCAGGCCACACTCCAGGCCACGCCCCTTGCCTGGAGACCACGCCCCATCCTGGACTCTTCTAAGGCCTCTCCCGAGGCTGGGCGTGAGGGGACGGAGGTGCCCCTCGCCCTGCCCTGTTTGTGCGTTCTATATAAATACATGCATAAATAAATGTGTTTTGTGACTGTTCAGGGTTGAAGGTGTCAGGAAGTGGGGGATAAGCAAGGGGGAGAGGTGGGGCCAGAGTCAGTTCTTGGACCCCTGTCGTTCTGTCTACCACTTCTGGGCTGTCTTGTCCAGCAAAACAGAGGCGTTGCTAGTGATTTCCAGAGGGTGGTACATAATTACTACCAAGAGTCATCTTGGACCAGATATGGGAAGCCCCACCTCCAGGTTCTTGGAAATACCAGAGATTCCCAGGATCAGCTGGCAGTGATAACAAGCCACTCCTGATGATTTCTCAGAGCTGCCTTAAGGGGACAGTTGGTTTGGAGCAGTTTCTTACCTGGGCCTGAGCAGGGATATCAGGAATGGGCAGCCCCTTTGGAGCTCTGGATCAAGTTAGCTGGGTGTGGTGCCTGTACATTTCTCTGGGGGGAGGTTCCAGAAGTTTCTGCAGGTACGTGCAAGGCTAGACGGTGTCCCCCTCAGCATAGGTTGGGGGCAGGCGTGGCACAGGCCCAGCTCTACTTGGTACCCATTCAAGACAGGAAAATGAGGCCACAGGACAGAAGCCTGGCATCCAGTGACAGCAGAGAATAGGGGCCCAGCCCAACATGTATCCCCTGCCACAGGACTTGGTGATTCCTGAGTCCCCTCAGCAGTCCCCTCCCTTTCTCTTCAACCTTATCCACTCACCTGAACCGGCTCTTTCCTGCAGGTCTCTTCGCACGCACCCCTTCCTTTCAGGGAGATGCACCCAAACCAAGTTCCATAACTGAGCACTAAGTACCATGTGCCTTAATACGGTGCTAGGCTGTTTCCATTCCTCTGGCCATCACATGGTCACATGATTAAAGAAGTTAGGGACATTTTCCCTTTTTCACTATATTTGTTGAGTTTCTTCTCACTAGAAGCTGGGGTGGGCACCAAAACATGGACTTTGCCCTCAAAGAACTCAAACTTGGAGCAAAGAGGAATGTCAACCAGAAGCTGCCATCTGATGTCTAACGACAAACCACTCTGGCTCTTGGGCAGTGCAGCAATAGCTGTCAATCCTGGGTGCTCACAAGCTGCGGGCACTGGGTAAGAGTTCTCCCAGTCCTTGCAATACCCGGGAGATGGCTGCACCAAAAGCAGAGGCAAAGGCACCTGCCCAGCTGCACAAGTAGGAAGCAGTGGGGCCGGGATTTCTCCAAGACTGAGGATAGCTGATGATGCCTCCCGGAATCCTCAGCTATCCTAACGCAACTAGCAGCAGTGCTCACTAAGCTCTTTAGGAATAAGTCCCCAGTCTCCAGCCTTCCAGAAGGTGGCACCAACCTCTTCTTCCTGTGTTCCCAGGAAGGGTGGTGCTACTCCATCATGACACTAGGTTTAACTTCTAGAAACTGTTGGAATAGTGTAGATTTCCCAAAGACCAGGGGTCTCCCAAGTCAGCAAACAAGTTTCCCGTTAAAAAAAAAAAAAAAAAAAAAGCTGGCAAATCTTGTTCAGGCCTTTCCTTGAGGAGTTCTCGTTTAAAATAGGGATCCACGCTTCTTAGAGAATGTTCTTGGATGACCAGGGGAGCCAATCGGCATCAGAGCACCAAGACGCCACTGGGGTTAAGAACCATCCTCACAAGGTCACTTGGGAAGGTGCTGGGAGGAGAGATCTTACACCAAACAGAACCTACATGACTCCATTTATAATAACAAAACATGAAGCAAGGCCCTTAAGGGTGGGAATGAACCAACCAAAGAGCAGGCTGCGCTGACACACTGAGTCTGACGCAGTGTTTCTCCACCAAGAAGGGCTTTTCTGGGCTCAGGACATAGCTCAGGTGGTAGAGCACTTGCCTCGCATGAACAAGGCCCTAGGTTCAATCCCCAGCACTGCACACACACACACACAAAGGGCTTTTCTACTTTCCTTTTCTGGCCTGTGTACTTCTTGGAGAAGAGGAAAGATGAATGAAAGGTTCTGGACCCCAGAGTTTCATTTCCTGGGAGAGACAAGAGGCCCAGACAGGAGTTGCTGCCAGCAAACTGAGATTCCTGGTGTCCTTGTTACTACTACTAACAAACCATCTCAAGACTCAGCAGCATAATTCCACTATTTTATTCTGCACACAGATTCTGTAACTCAGGAATCTGAACAGGCACAGCACAGCGAGGCGGCTTCTCTCTCTCTGGATGTGAGACAGAAAGCTGAAGGTGAACTGATGCCAGGGGCACAATCACCTGTGACTGAGGCTGGGCTGGCAGGATTTGAAGGCCTGGCCCTCCTGGGTCTGCAAGTGAGGGCACCTGCCCACAGCCTTGGTGTCACCTGGGCTTCCTCACAGAATGGTGGCTTCTGCTTCAGGGTAGCTGGATTTCCTATGGACAGTCTTGGGGACCCAAAAGCAAGTGTCCTAGCCACAGGGCAGGACTGTGGGTATCATGTTGGGGGAGTCATTAGCCGGCCTAGATTCTAGGGGAACACCCCACCTTTTGATTCAAGGAAAAACAACCTCACCTCATTTCTACGATCACCACACCTGAATTCTCTCCAAACCCTATGGTCACTACCAACTCCTGTGAAGCTGTCATTAATACCATCTGGCCTGCCACAAGTTTTCAGAGAAAGGGAAAGCAGGTCCCCAGAAAACACTGTCCCAAAGAGCAGTGAAGAGCCTGAGGCAGTGCCTGGCATTGTCCTGGTTGCCATCTCATTAACATCTTATTAAGGTCATTTGCTCAACAAATACTTCCAAAGCCCCTGCCTTGCTGTGGCTTAACAATGGACTCCAAGGAGCTTATGGGATTAGGGTTTGCAATCCTCAAAATGAGGCAGAGAAGGCCTGGCACCCCCGCATGCAGCGCCACCAGGCCAGGAAGCTCTACGCTGCAATCCCCACGTCTTCCAGGAACTTCTGGAGTCAGGGCTGCCAATAATTTGACACAATTGTTGTCACAGACAACAGGGGCTTCTAAAGACAACTGCTTTCTCAGACAGGGGCAGCAGGGACAAAGGCTCTCTGGCCACTCCCACTTGGCTAAGCTCCAGATAAAGTCAGGACTGGCACCTTCACAGTAGCATCCTGTACCCCGGCTCTAGCCCTCGCCCAGTTTCTGTTACCCAGCCCTGGAACCTACATGTACTTCAAAAATAGTAAGAGGAACCAGAGAAATCAAAAGCAAAACCAAACTAAATCAGTGCTGAAGAAGGAAGGCCTGGCCCCCCCGGGTCTGCAAGTGAGGACACCTGCCCACAGCCTCGGAGTCACCTGGGCTTTCTCACAGAATGGTGGCTTCTGCTTCAAGGTAGCTGGATTTCCTATGGACTGCGAAGACACATGGATCAGTTAAGAAAGGCAGAGGCAAGACGACGGAGTGGCAGGAGAATGGGACAAAATTCCCCATGGTCAGACACAGAAGGGCAGCGGCAAGTGGCAGGTCAGAGGAAGACAGCAGTAAGTAGGAGTGACAGGTGGCCCATGACCCTCACCCCCAAACACCCCACAACCAAGCAGGGAGGCTCCGGGCACCAGGCCTTTTATTACCACAGCACTCTGCAGGCTGGGCCCACCCTGCTGGATGACCCCAGGAGCAAGACTGGCAGTCCCTGCAGGGACAACAGAGCTGTGCTAGGGGAACACGTGGCTCCTCCCTCTGTTCAGGGCGCTTCCTTGGTGGTGCATGGAGGTCCTTCCTCTCTGGAGACCCCAGGCTCAGACAGTCCACTTCAGACACCTGCAGGCAAACAGGAAGGCCAGGAAGAGGAAGAGGTCTAGGGGGCCACAGAGGGGCAGTGAGTGTGGACAGGGAGGCCACAGCTCACCTGGTCTCTTGGTGGGTGCCCAGACAGCGCACCGTGCAGTACCGCGCTCCGCAGCTGACGCAGGTGTAGGGGGAAGGGAAGCCGCACACAGCACAGAAGGGGCGCTGAGGGCGGGACGGGGGCCCTGCGCAGGCCGTCAGGTAGTTGGGGCCCTCCGCCACGCTCAGGTTCTGCAGAGACAAGGCGGGCGGGCTCTGTGAGCCCCACACAGCCAACACCTGCCAGGCAGGACCTCCAGGGGCTCCCCCTCCCCACAGTCCCCTGGCAGTGCCCCTCTCACCTGCTCCTCCAGCAAGGCCTGGAAGTTTTTTCGGAAGCGAAGTTTAAAATGATCACCTCGAGTTTTCTTTTTTTTCTTTCCTAGGAGTCCAGAGAGATGAGTCACTTGACAATTGCAGAGAAGGAGCAGCTCTCTCTGGCTCCCCACAGGGGTGCAGTCTGTTTGTCCCGCCCTATCAGCCTTTGCTCTTTACCCCACTCCCCCAGTCAGGCCCCACCAGCTCCAGGTACCCTGACTGAGGCCCAGGTCAGCTCATCCACTCTGTCCTTACTCTGTGTACAAGAGAAACCGAGACGCAGTGGCTCACAGCCACAAGGGCCAGCAGATGTCCGGGCCAGGGGCCTCGCGGCCCAGTGTCCTTTCACAGTCCTGACCTGGGCCTGTCCCTCCCTTCCTCCTCGTCCGCCTTACCAGTGTCTGCATCATCATCAAACTGAGGCAGCCTCTTGCCGAGCTGGGGGAGGCCTGCGTGGGGGTCGTCCTGGAAGTTGTCATTCTCCAAGGCCTCGAGCTGCCTGTTGATGCGGCGCTGCCGGGCAGCCCGGTCCAGCACCCGGCGCTGTCCAGGGTCCTGGGAGCGAACTAGTTGGGGCAGGGCAAGAGTTATGGCCAGAGAAGAGGGACACAGGGAGGGAGCGAGTGTGGATGGGAGGCAAGACGACCAATTCCCCCCCAGACACTGCGGGGTAACTTGACTATGGGCAGTGGGTGGAAGATGGACACAGGTGGTAGCCACGGTCCTCTGGTCTTATCCCAGGCCCCAGGCCCGTGTCCCTGTTTCCCACTGTGTCAGACCTCTGGCTCTGCTTCCTCCCCAGCCAGCAAGACTCCTTTAATTCCTCACGCTGCTTCCCACATTTTCCTAGCACTTCCTGCTTCCAGTCAGTGAAGCCTCTCACTGTGCCAAAGCCACACAACTGTGCCCACGTGGAGGCACGGAGCACCAGGGTTCCCCAGCTCCACTGGGACGTGCCCCTTGACCAGTGTCCCTCCCCACCCCTAAAGAAGCAAAGAACACACACTCCCCCTTCAGACCACCCACAAACACTCCTGCTGGGCCCACCCTCTCCACTCTCCAGGGGCCTGTGACTGAACCCAGCCCTTCTCCTCCAGCTTGAGTCCATCCCTAACCTCAGCACCCTCCACCGGCCTCAGCTGGACTTTCCCTTCAGGAGAATAAATTGCTGCCAGCGTGTCTACGCCTCCAATGGCCTAATCTTTTCCCTTCGAGAGGGTCTGAGTGATGTCCTCACCTCCCACCTATTCTTCAACCTCTAGCAACCTGACTCCTGCCTGACTTCAGTGCAGGCCACGGGTGACCGCCTGGGGCCATTCCAGAGTGCATATCTAGCTCAGTTCTTAGTCTCGCATGTCTCTGCCCTGTGACCGTGCTGCCCACCCTCTTGGGGGTAAAGAATCCCTATTTCCTTGGCAAGGCTCCAGCTTTCCTCCTCCTCCCTCTCTGGACTCTCAGTCTCCCGTCTTGGCTGCCCTCCCTGCCCCTGAGCCTTCTCTGCCCACCCCTCCTCCCTCTCAGTCTACACCCTCTTCCACAGGGCTCTGCCTATCACCCACATGCAAATAACTCCAAACATGATCGTCTTGGCCCAGAATCCTCTCCTGAGCTCCAGAATTGGCTCCAGGACATCAGCACTGACCCTCTGATTATTGCACCTCAATATGGAACATCTTCCATCCAAGTCTGCCTCTCCCTGCGGCCAGAGTGAACAGACGCACTGCGTACATCCACACAGAGCCCTAGCAGTCCGCTCATCCTTTTTGTCACCCCATCAGCTACTCGCCAGGTTCTGATAATTCTACACAAAATATCTTTGTTTATCAGACAAGTACCAAGCGTGTGTTCACCATGACAATAGCAGCAGCGCCAGCAGCCACCACTTGCCAGACACATACTCTGAGCTAGGCACCATACAGTTGGTCCTCCCTGTCCACAGTCCCACATCCATGGATTCATCCAACCCCCAGATTGACAATATTCAAAATGCACCTGCACTCAACAGGTACAGACTTATTCCCTAAACAACACAGTGTTAACAACTAGTTCAGTAGCATTTACATTGTATAAGGTATTAAAGTAGAGATGATTCAAAGTAAAGGAGAGGATACACACAAGTTATGTGAAACCATTACACCATTTTATATGTGAGACTTTAGCATCTATGGATTTTGGTATCCAGACAGAGGCGGTGTCCTGGAACCAATCCCCCATAGATACTGAGGGGTGACTTACTAAACAATTAGCATAAACTGAATCATTTAATCCTCACAACAACCCTTTGAGATAGGTATCAGTTCATCTCAACTTACTGATGTTTGGAAGTTAAAATGTTTCCAGGGCTAGGGTTGTGGCTCAGTGGTAGAGCACTTGCCTAGCATGTGTGAGGCACTGGGTTCGATTCTCAGCACTGCATATTATTTAAATAAACAAAATAAAGATCCATTGACAAGCAGAATATATATATATATATATATATATATATATATATATATATATATATATATATATATATATATTATACAACTAGAAAAATATATATATAAAGAAATATTTCCAGAGTTTGCACAACTAGTAAATGGTGGCCAGGTCAGAATTCAATCCCAGAACCAAGCAACATCAAAACACACATTTTTTTTGGTTTGTTTTGTTTTGGATTTGGTGGTATTGGGGACTAAACCCAGGGGTGCTTCACACTGAGCTACACCTTCCTCCCCACCTTTTGATTTTAGAGATAGGGTCTCATTACATTGCCCAGACTGACCTGAAATTTGCAATCTTCCTGCTTCAGCATCCTGAGTAGCTGAGATTACAGGTGTGTGTCATCATGCCTGGCTTAAAACACATGGTCTTGCCGGGCCTGGTGATGAACATCTGTAATCCCAATGGCTCAGGAGGCTGAGGCAGGAGGATCACAAGATCAAGCCAGCCTCAGCAAAAGCAAGGTGCTAAGCAACTCAGTGAGACTCTGTCTCTAAATAAAATACAAAACAGGGCTGGGGATGTGGCTCAGTGGTCAAGTGCCCCTGAGTTCAAAAACACATGGTCTTGATCACTGCATGATGCTGCTTCCCTCCGGGGTGCCGAGTGCCAGGCAGCGCCTGAGCAAGAGCATACAGTCTTGCAGGAGCACAAAGGATTTTAAAGAACAAGCATGTTTGGTTAGGAAAGTACTAAAGGCTTCGGAGCATAAGACAGAAGCCCCCACTGCGGCCCTGGGGTGGTTAGGGAAGGTAAGTCTAGCTTGAGGCCCAAGTCATCCGTAGGCTGGTTGGGGGAACCAAGAAAGCTGGGTGCCTTTAACAAACTGAGGGAAGTTCAGCAAGACCAGCATGTAAAGCAAGTGGGGTGGAAGCTGAGATGAAGGCATGCCAGGTCCTCAGAGTTCTACCTCTAGATATTTAAAGGAATTTGAACTTGGGGATTTTACAGGTGAGAATAATGGAAAGCCAGTGGGGAGGTGCAAGTTAATTTAGCAGTGTTGACGGTTACTTCCTTTCCCTCGGACTCCTCAGCATCTCTTTTTTAAGTGACCTTCCAGTCTCTAGACCTGCTTTCAACAATAAACTGATCACACGTGGTTACTTATATTTAATCTAATTATGAGAAAATAAAAATTTAAAATTCAGTTCCTTGGTTGTACTAGCCACATTTCATGTGGCCAATAGCCACATGTAGTGAAAGTCCTACTGTGGATTGAACTCCAGAGACACTTTGCCACTGAGGTACATCCCCAGCTCTTTTTATTTTGAGACAGAGTCTCAGTAAGTTGCTTAGGGCCTTACTAAATTGCTGAGGCTGCCCTCCTCGAGCTTGCAATTCTCCCACCTCAGCCTCCTGAGTCCCTGGGCTTACAGGCAGGCCACCACCAAGCCTGGTGGAACACCCCACACTCAACAGCACAGATTAAGAACATTCTCATCATCACATAAAGTCCTACTGGACACTATTGCAATCCATCTGCCTCGCTGAAGCCAGAACTGCCTTTCTAAAAGATAAACCTGCTTGGTCACGCCCCTGCCTTAAAAGCTTTTGATGGCTCTCCACTGCCTCTCCATGGAGTTCAACTTCCTCGGTGGTGTATGGAATGCTTTTCAAAACTTCACCTTTTCCCATTCCTCTGGCCACTGTTTGCTTGTAAGTTCCAAACTTTGAACAGGCTTCCTAAGCGACTTGCTTTTTCTTGCTCCTCTGCCTTTGCTCGCGGAGTGCCCGGCACCTCTGCGGTGCGAAACCTTAACCCGCCTTTCAAGGCTCAATTCAAGCGTTTCTGTTTCCTTCCAAGCCTTCCAGGTCTCCCTTTCCTAGGAGTTGGGGCGGGTGCCTGTGCCCAGGCGCCGTGCGCCGCTCTGCCATGGCACCTATCACTCTGAAGGGCAATGCAGGTCCGGGTGTCCGTCCCGCTTACAGAAAGCCAGTTCTGGGGTAACAGGGCTCTTTCTCCTCTCCATCCTCAGCGCCAGGCTTAGGGCAGGCATCAATAAAACTGAATGAACGGTTTAGGGGGCTGCCCAAAAGACCTGAGAGTCGGTGAAGAGATTTGAGACAAATAACTGAAAAAGTCCCAAGTCGGGTTTGGACTTGGGAGGCCAAGGGGTCTAACCGCCGGGGGCTCACATACCCGAAGTTTTTTTCTCCACCATTTGCGCAACACAGCAGCCGGATGAGCCTACTGCGCACGCGTACTAAATCGGCAGCAGTGGTTTAAAAAAGAAAATCCTACCACTTCCGGCAGCGTGCGTTTGTGCGCGTGCGCAGAACCAGCCCCCACCGCTTGTAGACATTACGTGGTGTTCCCTTGGAGACAAGAAAGCTTTCCGCCATGTTTTATAGGGGCAAAGCTACTTCCGGTCTCAGTGTACTTGTGCAAATTTAGTGAAAGACCCGAAATCGGAGTCTTTCGAGAAATATTATTGTCCTTGGGTCCTTCAGAAGATGCTACCATCCCAAGGACATCCCCTGAAGTATTTCCCCGGGGCAGTAGATGGGGCGGCCTGGACTGCGGAGGAAAGCGGCCTGGCTTGAGTGGGCCGACTGAGAGGTCCTTGCTGACCGTCTGCCCCAAATCAGCCTCCAGCTTCCCAGGGCCGCAGTCTCGCCGCGGACTCCCCGGCCTTCTCCCTCCTTGCCGCCCTTGCGCCTCGCTGCCCCCGTCTTCCGCCCGACGGCCGCGCCCGCGTCCCGCCGGACCCTCCGCGCCGGGTCACTTCCCCTCCGCGGTTTCGGCTCCCCCGGCTGTCGGGCGGGAGGAGAGCGCGGCGGGCTCGGGCCGCAGCCTCCCCCCCTCCCCGCCCCGCGGCCGGCCGCCCCCTGCGCGCGCCCCGCTCGCCCCGCGCCCCGCGCCCCGGACAATCCTCGCCTTGTCTCGGCGCCTGCATCTCCAGTTCTCCGGGGCCTCGGGTTACGCCTTTTTTCCAGGGCGGAGCCCCAGCCCCGCTCCTCCTCGAAGCGGGCGGCTCCGCAACCCGGGTTCCCCGTTCCCAGAACCTTCTCCCGAGTTGGGATCCAGACGCGCAGCCCAGCCTGGTGCGGGCCCGCGTGCGGCCCCGGCCTGCTCCCCGCCATGGCCTCGACCGGCCCTGGCCCCCGGCTCCTGCTGCTGCTGCTGCTCCTGCTGCTGCCGCCGCCTCCTGCGGCCTCCGCCTCCGACCAGCCTCGGGGCAACAAGCCGGTCAACCCAGGTGAGGACCCCGGAGCGCCAGCGGGCCGAGCGGGCGCTGGATGGACAGTGTCAGCCAACCTGGCTGGGGAGGGTCGGGCCTCCAGCCCCGCACGCGCCTGGGGGCGGTGTCACGCGGCCCCTTGCCCACTCCCCACCCTGAACTGGAGTTTTCAGCCTCTCCAGGCAAACTGACCCCGAATACCTGGGTCTCACTAGGGTAAAAAATGTACCTGGGTGGGAAGAATTTAGAGGGAACTGGAAAGAAGAGGAAAAGGCCGAAGTGGAGTTAGGAAAAGGGATAGATGGGGTCCTGCAGAGAGCCAGGCACGTGGCTGGGAAGTCTCAAGTACGCATTCCTGGCTGACCTTAGAGAAGCTGCTGGTGATCACCGTGGCCACCGCGGAAACAGAGGGATACCGGCGTTTCTTGCAGTCTGCTGAGTACTTCAACTATACTGTGCGGGTGAGGAGGGGACCCTGGGTGAGGAGTGGGCTGAGAACTGGTGCCGGGCCCCCACGGTGAGCCTGGGCAGCCCTCAGTCCTTGTTGATTGGATTCCTCCCTGGTATGTGGATCTCCCACAGACCCTGGGCCTGGGAGAGGACTGGAGAGGGGGTGATGTGGCTCGAACAGTTGGTGGAGGACAGAAGGTCAGATGGCTAAAGAAAGAAATGGAAAAGTATGCAGACCAGGAAGACATGGTCATCATGTTTGTAGACAGGTAAAAGAGCCAGGAACTGGGAGAAAGGAGAGGGTGAACATGAGGAGGGATAAAGATGCTGAGGTTCCCAGCGGCCTCCTGTTCATCCTCCCTTTCCTTGCTCAGCTATGATGTGATTCTGGCTGGCAGCCCCTCAGAGCTGCTAAAGAAGTTCGTCCAGAGTGGCAGCCGATTGCTGTTCTCTGCAGAAGGCTTCTGCTGGCCTGAGTGGGGGCTGGCAGAGCAGTATCCTGAGGTGGGCACGGGCAAGCGCTTCCTCAACTCCGGTGGTGAGTGGCAGAGTGCCTGAGATAGAGGGGCTAAGAGTGTTCCAGGTGCCTGGGGGCTGGAGGGACAGTGGGGCCAGGCCTATAGGGACTTTGGATTTTGAAATCACCACCTCCCCTGCCCCCTCCACCAGGATTCATTGGCTTCGCCCCCACCATCCACCAAATCGTCCGCCGGTGGAAGTACAAGGACGATGATGATGATCAGCTCTTCTACACGAGGCTCTATCTGGACCCCGGGCTGAGGGTAGGTGGGGCCGGAGAGGGGAACTCAGCCTTGTGCCTGTGGGAGGCCTCTGCCTGGGGGAGGCAGACGGAAGGGGGTTTGGAGGTGTAAAGAGAAGAGGGTGGGAAATGATGTCATCCCACCTCCCGTTCATCTCCCTGCTCATCCCATCCAGGAGAAACTCAGCCTTAATCTGGATCATAAGTCCCGGATCTTCCAGAACCTCAATGGGGCTTTAGGTGAGGAGGAAGGCACTGGACGGTGGGCAACGAGGGGCCTACTGCTCGGGGTCCTGATTGGGAGGGGCTCCTGGTGGCCTGTGGCTCCCCTGAGTAAACCGCACTGGGCCAGCCTCGGTAACGAAGCAGCAGTGGGGCTTGTGCCGAGGTACCAGCCTCCGAGATCCCACAGGGGAAGGTGCCTGGCTGTCCACCCTGTACCGATCCTCGGCCATGTGGACACTGGATCCTGAGGGCTAGTGGCTCACCCCAGGTCACACAGGGAGCAGGTGGAGCTCCAAGGGTGGCAGCGCCTGGTCAGAGCTCTGGGGAGAGCAGAGGTTCCTGTCTAAGTGGAGCCACCGTCTGGGGGCCTTGCCGCCCAGGCACCCTCATCCCCTTGAGAAATTGGGACCCCACATTTAGAAGAAGCCATTGTTTGGCAACTCCCAGAGAAAGGGTGTGTAAAACCTGGCTTTCCTCCCCAGACGAGGTGGTTCTGAAGTTCGATCGGAATCGTGTGCGCATCAGGAACGTAGCCTACGACACGCTCCCCGTCGTGGTCCATGGAAATGGTCCCACTAAGGTGCCCTTGTCTGCCCCATGCCCTGGGCACCCCCAGCCCCCTCCAAGTCCCTGAGCAGCAGAGGTGCCGGGAGAGCTTCCTCCATACCCTGCTGCCCCGTCCTCTGGGCCGACCTCCCTCACATCGCCCCTGCACTCCTCCACCCCAGCCGCTCCCCGTCTCTCCCTCACAGCTGCAGCTGAACTACCTGGGAAACTATGTCCCCAATGGCTGGACTCCCCAGGGAGGCTGTGGATTCTGCAACCGGGACCGGAGGACACTCCCGGGGGGGCAGGTGAGGAAGGGAACCAGGTTGGGGTCCCAGAGCACCCTGAAGTGTGTCAGGCAGGGGAGCTCTTGGGAACCCACTGGCCGGCAAGGGCTGAGGGGCAGAGAGGCCTGGGCTCTCCTCTGAGTTCCGCTGTTTGCGCCCCCAGCCTCCCCCCCGGGTGCTGCTGGCCGTGTTCGTGGAACAGCCCACCCCGTTCCTGCCCCGCTTCCTGCAGCGGCTGCTGCTCCTGGACTACCCCTCCGACAGGGTCACCCTCTTTCTGCACAACAACGTGAGAGCCCCAGCCTCTCCCCGGGCCCTGCCCTGCCTGCAGCCCGCTCCCCTTCCCGCCTCGCCCACCCCAGCAAGCGCTCAGCCCGCCTCTTTGCCCGCTGCAGGAGGTGTACCATGAGCCGCACATCGCGGACTCCTGGCATCAGCTCCAGGACCACTTCTCAGCTGTGAAGCTGGTGGGGCCAGAAGAGGCCCTGAGCCCAGGCGAGGCCAGGGACATGGCCATGTGAGTGAGACCTGGTGGGGAGGGTGCGGGCCGCCATCCTGGACCACTCCATGGCCACCTCCACAGACAGCAGAGACCCTGGGTGGGGACAGGACCATCCCTTTTCTTCCCCTTGGGGGTAAAGAGGGGCCCCACACACCCCCTAGTCCCCTCCCCTCTCTGCTCCCTGTTGGGCTCATCTGTGTGGGTGTGTCTCCTCCAGGGACACTTGTCGGCAGGACCCTGAGTGTGAATTCTACTTCAGTCTGGATGCCGATGCCGTCCTCACCAACATGCAGACCCTGCGCATCCTCATTGAGCAGAACAGGTGGTCCCGCCCGGCTGGGCACCCCACATGCCCTGGCACCCCCAGCCACCCCATCCCTTCCCCCTCAAGGCTCCCCAGGCCTCTGCCCAGCCCTCACCCCACCTGTCCATAGGAAGGTGATCGCCCCCATGCTGTCCCGCCATGGCAAGCTGTGGTCCAACTTCTGGGGGGCCCTGAGCCCCGATGAGTACTACGCCCGCTCTGAGGACTACGTGGAGCTTGTGCAGCGGAAGCGCGTGTGAGTCTTCCGGGGCAGGGATCCCTCCTCCCATCTGCAGAGATCGGACCCTCGCCCTGGCCCCCACTCTCAGGTCCATTGTGGCGACTAGGCAGCTGTGTCGTGGCTGCGGGGTAGGTCCCAGCTGTGGATCAGGTGGCTGAGACCAGCAGTGCTTGGCAGGTTCCAGGGCTAGGGTGTCCCGAGGAAGGAGCCTCTGGGATGGACTGGGCAAAATTTGGGGTCTCCCACCTCGCTGACCCTGGTATCACCACCTGCAGGGGCGTGTGGAATGTGCCCTACATATCACAGGCATATGTGATCCGTGGGGAAACCCTGAGGACAGAGCTGCCCCAGAGGGAGGTGTTTTCGGGCAGTGACACTGACCCGGACATGGCCTTCTGTAAGAGCCTGCGAGACAAGGTGAGCAAGCAGGGCCTGGGGTGCAGGGCCTGGGGCTGGGCGCTGGGAGGCCAAGGGCAGCCACCTAGCGTCACCTCTGCCCCCTCTCACACCCACCCCACCCTGCACCAGGGCATCTTCCTCCACCTCAGCAATCAGCACGAGTTCGGCCGGCTCCTGGCCACCTCCCGCTACGACACAGACCAC